AAATTATTAGTTTAAGAATAAATCAAAAGTGTCAGCTTTCAAACTTGTTGAAAAAGTTTTTCCCTTACTACAAATAAGACTTTTAAAACAGTTGTAATTGTAATTTCTGTTTTTCCTGTTCTAGACCTACTGCTTTTATATATTTTTAGCAGTGGAAAAATGATATATATATATTATCTATATAATCAATTGCTCTCATGTTCTTAATTCTCTAATATTTAAGGTTAGGTATTTCAAGAAGCATTTACTTGTTTATATGATGCTATTTTGGAATTGACACTTTATGTAAAGAAATATTTCTTGTCAAGTATGAAGTTCATTCTCTTCCAGTTACGGAACAATTTTTTAAATCCTAGTCTTTAAGCTCCCAGTCTCTTGGACAACCAGTAGCACAGCCAACAATGTCTCAGCCTGCAACTTTACAGCTCCAGTCTGGCATGCCCCAGGTATGGATTAAGTTGGCTTATTATTTTTTAAACAGTCTTGTTCTCCTGGAGAGCAGCATTCTCCTAGAGAAACTGGCTGCTCGTGGCTTGAATGGACATATTCTTCGCTGAGTGAAAAACTGGCTGGATGGCTGGGCCCAGAGAGTGGTAGCGAATGGAGTTAAATCCAGTTGTTGGCTGCTCACAAGTGGTGTTCCCCAGGACTTGGTATTGGGGCCAGTTCTGTTTAATATCTTTATCAATGATCTGGATGAGGGGATTGAGTGCTCCCTCAGTAAGTTTGCAGATGACACCAAGTTTGGTAGGAGTGTTGATTTGCCTGAGGGCAGGAAGGCTCTGCAGAGGGATCTGTAGAGGCTGGGTCGATGGGCTGAGGTGAATTGTATGAGGTTCAACAAGGCTGAGTGCTGGGTCCTGCACTTGGATCACAACAACCCCATGCAACACTACAGGCTCAGGGATGAGTGGCTGGAAAGCTGCCTGGCGGGAAAGAACCTGGGGGTGTTGATCAACAGCCGACTGAACGTGAGCCAGCAGTGTGCACTGGTGGCCAACAAGGCCAATGGCATCCTGGCCTGTATCAGAAATAGTGTGGCCAGCAGGACCAGGGCAGTGATCGTCCCCCTGTACTCAGCATTGATGAGGCCGCATCTCAAATACTGTGTTCAGTTTTGGGCCCTTCACTACAAGAACTTGAGATGCTGGAGCGAGTCCAGAGAAGGGCAACGAAGGTGGTGAAGGGTCTGGAGCACAAGTCTGATGGGGAGCAGCTGAGGGAGCTGGGAAGAGGAGGCTGAGGGGAGACCTGATCGCTCTCTACAACAACCTGAAAGGAGGGTGTAGCGAGGTGGGGGTCGGTCTCTTCTCCCAAGTAACCAGTGATAGGACAAGAGGAAACGGCCTCAAGTTGTGCCAGGAAGGTTTAGATTGCATATTAGGAAGAATTTCTTCACAGAAAGGGTTGTCAAGCATTGGAACAGGCTGCCCAGGGAAGTGGTGGACTCACCATCCCTGGAGGTATTTAAAAGACGTGTAGGTATGGTGCCTAGGGACATGGTTTAGTGGTGGACTTGCCAGCGCTAGGTTAACGGTTGGACTTGATGATCTTAAAGGTCTTTTCTAACCTGAACGGTTCTGTGATTCTATGTTCTGAATATAAGGTTAATTTCTCTTTCAGAAATAGAATTGTTTGATGCCAAAGTCACCTTTAACATTATTCTCTTGAAATGAACAAATTCCCCAATTTGACACTTTTCCTTTCTTTTTTTCTTCCTGTTATTTGTGTGGATATAGTTTTTAGCCTTTGCCATTAGAAACATAGATATAAACACAATTTAAGATAAAATATTTCAGGACATAATTTTTTAATCTATCAGCTATGCTGGTAACTTTCTACACATATGCTCATAACACAAGGCAACTTAGTCTATAAAACACTTTTGTGAAATAAGGACAGTGGTATCAGGTCCAACCAAAGTTCTATGTCCTGTAGATAGAATGTAAGTATCAAAAGGTTATATTGACTTGTGGCCTGTAGCGGATGTCTAGGAAAGAATAGAAGTGGCAAACATAGTTCCTCTGTGGGCTCAGCCTTCAACAGTTTGTGACTGAGGGTATTCCCAAGTTATTTGCATATGTTTTAGCTCTGGGTGAATATTTTTGGTAAACTGGTCCAATTCTAATTTTTAACCTGAGAGAACTTTAACATCCACAGTACCATGTAAATTACTATGGTTTTTTATAGACTTGGTGATCTGGACACCAGTCAATTTCTTTTGCTATGGATTTTTTTTTTTAGTTCACCAGTTCTGATGCATCAGTTAAATGTGACATCAATTAAACGTGAGTTCTGTGACATTTTCATACTAATGAATTTGTCCTCAGATTATGGTTATTAGCAGTTTAAATAGCAGTGCTTGATTTCTTCGCTACTGTGGAGGAGTATATTCACTGCTTGTAAATAAAATGTCATTATTTTTGCTCAGCTTTTAATTTATTCATTGCACTACAGCCTGTGTTTCAGTTTTCAGCTCAATTAGGAGCTATGCAGCATCTAAAGGACCAGCTAGAGCAAAGGACACGCATGATAGAGGCAAATATTCATCGGCAGCAGGAAGAGTTGCGTAAGATTCAAGAGCAGCTTCAAATTGTCCACGGTCAAGGACTGCAGGTGAGTTAGTGTACCTCTTACACGTTTGATCTGTAGAGAATTTAGGCATCTAAAATGAGACTTGGGCATTTAATTCCACAAGGTGATCCTTCCTACCCCCTGTTAGCTGCCATCTGGACCCAATGTGCCTAAAATCCGTAGCATCCGAAGGTACCATTCCTGAGATACCTGCCATTTTACTTCTGAATGTACCTGGAAGTGCCCCAGTGTATGTTTTCAATGTTGACCAGCTCAAGCCTAGCTTATGCCTAAACCTAAATCTAAAACAATGTGGTGGTTGTTACTTCTTGCAAAGTTTTGCAGCCGTTAGAATATCAATCCAAAATGTGCAAGATAAGCATTTATTTCCTCTTTTAGCTCAAGGGTGTCAAATTTGTACGTTTTGTTTCTTAAACTGTCCTAACTATCGGGCTGTGGTCCTCCTACACACCCTCCCGGTGAAGTGGTTCTACTTTGCATGGTATACTGAAGTCGTTACTGAGCCAGAAAGACAAGAAGTCTAGAAGATGCATTACTTAGTCTAGCAGCTGACTACCTGATTTCTGTATTTTAACCAGTATATTTCTTTCTAATTTTATCATTCTCTTTTCAACAGTTATCTTTGGAAGAAAAGAATGACTATATTGGGTTTTTCTAGTTAAAAAAAAACAAAAACAAACAAAAAAAAAACCACCCAAAACTAAAATACACCTCGAGGAAATAATCTAAATGTTTTCAATGTTGATTGTGAATAAAGAGTAGAAAAAAATACTTTCTGGAGGTATTGAGTATGTTGCCTAAATTCTGTTGAAGAGTAGGAGTTTCTGGCGTGTGCAATCTTAAGTGTTTTATCATGTCTAGCATAAGCCTGCCAGCAGTAGACTGCCATATCAGTGCCTCAAAAGGAGAGATTCACAGCAGTCTTCCCATGCACTGTGGAGGGACCTTATGCAGGACTCTGGAAACTAGGGAAAATATCTTAAATGCTGCATGTTCTGCCTTACTGCCCTGTCTTCTTGTAGTCTTGGGCCTAACTTTTTGTAAAGTGTCAAATATTTTTGTGCTGAATTCAGTTTATTACAACGATATTGGAAAATTCAATATAACCATTATGATTTCTTGATTGCCAAGGAGGATTATGTTCTTGGTGCTATGCATGGATCTGTTGATTCTGAGATTTTCTTCATTTGAATTAGTTTTACTGCTGGAGATCCTACAAACAGAAATGTGATCTCAAATGCATTGTATGTTTAGACAGTTGTAGGCTACATTACAAGTTAGTCTCTAAATAATACTTTTTCTTTAAGAACAAATATCAAACCTTAATGTTTAGGGCTCTAGAAATCAGGATGCTGATTCTTATCAGTTACAGTAGAGTCTCTGAATACTGACCCTATGTGGGAGTTGGGCCTTTTGCTCTTGGTGGCTGCAATGCTGGTTCAACACTTCCAATAACTAAGATGGAACTTTATCTTATATTGATTTAAAATAATTAAATTTAATTTCTCTAAAAGATCTTGAACAATTACCAGATTTTTCTTAAAAGCTAACTTGCAGATTTATTTTTTTTTTTTAAGATGTTCTTGCAGCAGTCAACTTCTGGACTCAACTTTGGTTCTGTGCAGCTTGCTTCTGGAAATTCTTCAAATGTTCAGCAGCTTACACCAGTAAACATGCAAGGTCAAGTTGTTCAGACTAATCAGACTCAAAGTGGGATGAACACAGGCCATATAAGTACTTCACACATGATACAGCAACAGCCTTTGCAGAGTACTGCAACACAGGTATTGATTTTGCTGGATAGAATATATGCTCAAAACCTTAGCTTAAACACAACAATAGCTTCCCTGACATCCCCCTCACCATTTTTTTTAACAATGTCCTTTGAGTTGTATTAATTTCTTCATGTTCCAGGTTTTACATTTTACATTGAAATGCATTTATGTTCTTGATAGTGCAATTCCAGATCGTGTTTTTATTTTAAGACATAAGCATGTAAATAATTAATAAGAAGTAGCTTTTTTGAAAGACAAGTATCAAGAAAACTTTTAGCTTGCCTTTTTTTGAATGTCTATGAATTTTCTGTTGACAGAACACATAACTTGAGATTTGAACTAGGTGAGCTTGCAACCTGATGTCCAGACAGCAAATAACTAGAAAAGCGTAGGAACAGGACAAGCATATATTGGTGCTTCTGCAATTGACTTTTCTACTCTTCAGCAATTCCAGTCAGATGCCATAGGTGTATGACATCTGTAATATAATAGCCTTTTTCTTCTATGAGTTTATTCAGTTTCTTTCCATTCCATGTAAACTTTTGAAATCCACAGTATCTCCTAGTGAGTTCTACAGCTTTACTTTCTGTGAAACATGGTTGTGTTTGTTTTTTAAACTTGCCACCCAGCTCATATACTTTTCATCTCAGTCATACATGATTTCGAAGTCCTCTGTCACATATATCTCCATAGAAGCCTGCTCTTCAAGCTGAACACTTCTAATGGGTTTGACCGTTTTGTGTATGGAGGCTTCTTATACCTCCGATCTCTGTGGTCACCCTCCTCTGTACCTTTATCCAAATTCCATACTTTATCTCTGAGATTTGTGAAGAGACAGACTAGTGGTGGACAGTGTCACCATCTCAGCAGTAAGCTAGTTCCAAACTTTTAAGCAAGAAATTGATTGACGGGATGTGTACATTTTAGTCTAAGTCTGGCACAGAGATGCTAAAGAAGTGGAGAATAGGATCTTGAAAAAGCAGTATGCAAGTAGCTGAAAAATTCAGGAAAAAAATAACCTGAACAGGAGAAGAGGTAGATCTAAGAGATTTTCAGATGTCCGAGGGCCAGTCCCACCTCCAAATCCTCAGTCAGTAGAATTACCTCTGTACTTTAAATCAAGAATTCATTTGTGATAGAAAAACATTGGCAGTTGTGAAGTATGGGCAATGACAATGAAGAGGACAGCTGTAGTACCTGGCTATTTTCAAATTACCATCTCATAAAATATTTTTTCTTTTCAGCATAATCAACAAAATGTACTTAGTGGACACAATCAACAGTCTTCTCTTGCCAGTCAGTCACAGAACACAGTCTCGGCACCTTTGTACAACACTATGGTGATTTCTCAGCCAGCAACAGGAAATGTGGTCCAGGTTCCTTCCAGCTTACCACAGAACAATAACCAGAATGCTGCTGCAGTAACCACTTTGACACAGGATAGACAAATCAGGTAATTCTTCAAGATGACAACATTCAGATGACTTGCTATAATGATATGCTTACAAGGCTACATCATGTACAAAAGGAACTAAAGTAGCATTAAAAAATCATGTGATTTATTATTTTAACTATATATGGATACAACTGCTAAACTAATCTTTGGCCAAAATAACAGGTTCGCAGGCTTATCAAAAACCATGTTGTTATATCAAAGTATGAACTTGATAAATCTGCATTTCTCAAGTGCGTGAGATGCTTGGTTATTTTTTTTTTCCTAGAGGGACTCCACATGTCTTTTTCTATTAACAGATTTTCTCAAGGTCAGCAACTTGTAACAAAACTTGTCACGGCCCCAGTAGCATGTGGAGCAGTAATGGTACCAAGTACTATGTTTATGGGCCAGGTGGTGACAGCTTATCCCACCTTCGCTGCCCAACAGCAGCAGCCACAGACTTTGTCAGTAACGCAACAACAGCAGCAGCAGCAAAGTCAGCCAGACCATCAGCAGCAGCTCACCACAGTTCAGCAACCAGCTCAGCCGCAGCTGACTCAGCACCCCCAACAGTTCCTACAGGTAATGTGGCATTCTGTACAAATTTTTTGAAGTCCTGACACTTTCAGCATTGCTAGCTTATCCTAGGGGTGCTTTATCTGAAAACAGAGTGCTTAAAAGAGTAACCTCTGAACAAGCCTGATGCACAAGATAAGTTTATTCTGTAGCCATTCTCTAAAATCTTACTACTTAAAGGAGAGGTAGTCTTTCCCGCAATTTCACTCTATGCTTTGTCCTATTTTATATCTTCTTCCCTTTGAATTGCAGCTCTTGATTGAGCATGGGATGAAGAAACAGATGTTTCGCTTTAAAACAGCTTGCATTTTCTTTGCATTCACATATTAATGCAAGAAAGTATGAGAGGTGATCTCAAACAGGATCGTTTGGTCTGGAAAGCAGCATGCAGCCCAAAGCAAGACATGTCCCCGTAACATGAGGCATGAACATCTGTCTAGGCTACAGGGGAGGCTGAGCAGCAAGTAATCTTGTAAGCAGAGAGCAGAGAAGAACCTTGTTTTAGTGGAGAAAGAAGAGAGATTGGATCGAAAGAGAAGGCAGGCAACACCCAAGGAGTTTAGAGATGGGAAGTCTTGAAAAGAAAAGAACCAGACGGTAGAAAGACTTGATGAGGAAATCTGTTGCCATTTGTTGATTCCACTTAATCGCTGGCACATAGCTCGCCCAGCAGGTGATGTTGGTGAGGGGGATGTAGTGGTAGCTAGAGCACTAGAGAGGGAGTGCCTCCAAGATGATGTGGGTTAAAAAAATCTTAATTTGCCCTCTGATTTTGTCTTGTCCAAAGAAAGATAAAGTCCATGTAACTATGATGATGTAGTTTATGGACATTCTTAAACTACTCTGGGAACATAAATTTTTTTTTTTTTTTACTCTTTAAGAGTATACATAACTGAAAATCCTTGTTTTGCAAGTATTTCTTACTATGTGTGGTCTCCCATTTGCACTAAATTTGGTATCCTCTGCGTAGGTGGAATATATACAAATGCAGTAAGTAATTGGAGGCTTAACCTATACGTATATGCACAAGGAATGGTTACGGTTCTGTTTAAGGCTGGGTAAAATTTTCTTTCACTAGGTCCTTGACAGAAAATACTGACTTGTTGAAAACATCTTTCATGGGAACATACCAATTTCAGTCGTGCATCAGGCAAAGTCTTTTCAGCTGCAAGTTGACTCTCAAAAAGAGTGATTTGCATTTCAGCACTCATTTATGTAGTTGGAGAGTCTTGAACTGAATCAAACCAGAGCGCAGATTTGAATGGGTTCTCTGACAAGTCAGATAAATACTATAACAACAATGCTGTTTAGCAGGTTGGTAGTGTCTGTATCTCTGTTTCTAAATTTAAAAGTTTGTACAGTTGTGACTTAATTCTGGTGAAACAGAAGATTTGTGAAAGATTAAGATCTCCAAAAGTCTATTCCTGTTCCAGAATTTCTTTCTAGGCAAAAGTTTAGTATTTTTAATACAAACTATTAAAGTGCTAGAATTTGAAGTGATGCAAATGCTCTTTAAAAAAGGAGAAAAGTGTTTTTCCTGCCTCTGCTCACTGGGGCTTCTTACAGTGTGATCTGTAGGTGCAGCAGTTGAGGTAGTTTACTTTCTGCTGCAGAACGTGTTTCAGGATTGAGACGTCCAAGTGCCTTTGTACCCATCCCTCACTGCTTTTCTTCAGTAACCATTATCTTTTGATTCTAAGACAATATTAAAACTAAGTACTATTTCCAATAGTAATAAATCTCCTTCAAAGGGGGTGTTGGGATCTGCAAATGTGGCAGTGTCTTTGACTGTTCATTTTGGCTGTGGGGGATAAATGTGATCTGTCCCAAGTCGTGCACTATGCACTGTTTTTTCATTTGACTGCAGTGACAGCCACCTGCACTTGTTCGCATAGATGCCTTAAGCCCTGTTATGCTCTTGTGGTTTGAAACAGAGAGAAACTATCATGTGTTCCTAGCCATTGTCGTGGGAAATTAGGGAGAGCAACTACAGCTGCTTTATTAATTGGTCAGATGCTCTAATTAACTTTATAAGTATGAAGTAATCTTTGCATTGTTTGCTTAGCTTAAATGACCAAATCAGAAGTTTAATTTGATTGAACCCTTATGAAAAGTTAAAAAGCAGGTAGGCCTGTGTTTCTCAGTGCAGCAGGAAAAACAATCTTTTTCTATTTCCATGTTTTAGACATCCAGGTTACTTCATGGAAATCAGTCAGCTCAGCTTATCCTCTCTGCTGCTTTTCCACTACAACAAAGCACTTTTACTCAGTCCCACCACCAGCAGCATCAGTCGCAGCAGCAGCAGCAGCAACTTTCGCGACACAGAACTGACAAGATGACTGATCCTTCCAAAGTTCAGCCGCAATAGTCTGAAGCTCTGCCTCTTTTTGAAGTAAAGTACCAGGAGGGGGCTGCTCCACAAACAGTTGCACTGAGGCTACAGGGGTAGCAGTACGGAGGCTTTCTAACACCACAGTGTTGAGATCTACTTCTAACTTCTGGAATCTGTTAAGAAAAGCCACAAGATGATGACGGGGACATGGCCAACTTTGATGGTTGCCCCAGTTTCTGTGTTCTGAAGGATTTGCTGCCACGTGTTAATTAGTCCAGGTGAAATCTCAAAATGTGACTGAAATGAGAGGGATGCTGAAAATATTGATATTTTTATCAGTCCTGTACATTTTTAAAGTATTAAAATGGACATGGAGCAATTGTTTGAATTAGCAAAAAAAAAAAATGTCAGGAATATAGTCCAAAAACCATCTAATTTTTTTCAGATGATTACGGGACAGTAAATATTTTGAAAATGTTGTGTGAAATCCAGTTTTCTGTTGTACAGATGCTGTAAAATATTGTGTATATGTCTGCATAAAAGGAGAAAGAGCAAAATATTTTATATGATGCATGAAAATGTAATCTGTTATTTGTAGGTTTGAATATGTTTCCCTAAATTCTCATGCCATACTCAGACTAATGTTTTCCTCTGTTCTACCCTTTTGTTTACAACATGATGCGTCATTATTTTCACCCTTAATGTGGGCACAAGTCTCTTGTTTGTGCTTTGTCTGTGATGTCAGGGTTTGTTCGGTGAGGTATAGTGTGTTGGTTAGTTGACTTCTTGAGGTTAAATTATTGATGAAGCTGTTTGAACTGGTGATCATGCATCAGGGTTCAGGACATTCAGATTCATGAGTATCATCTATCATTTCATAATTAATTCATTGTTTTATTTGAAAAACAGGAATTTGCACTGCTTTCTTGTGGATGGTTTGGAATTTTATTCCCCAAAGCTATCTTTTGATATAGTTCATAGTTGGAAATATTTATGTAAAAGGTTTAAAAAAAAAGACAGTAATTTTCAAGAATGTTTCAGTTATAGGAGTAATTTGCACAAAAATATATTTACATTTAATAACCTTTTGGGCACTTTTTAACCACTTTCTCTGTGGTGAGCATTGTAACTTGTTAAAATATGTTGGAATCTTTTTATTCTCCTTCAAAAATTAGTCAGAACTAATTCAGGGTCATTTTAACAACAACAACAAAACCCATAGTGCCTTGATTTTAATTCAGGTGATAACGTTGAACATCTTGAATTACAATGTCTCGAATCTGTAACCATTTTCAATTTTGAAGTCTTAGTACATCATCAACTAAACTTGTGTATCTACTTCATAGATATTTCTGTATTGTGTTGATTTTAATAATGGTCTGAGTTGAGATCATGAGCATTTTTGAGTGGTACTCCCCCTCAAACACTAGCCAGAAACAGAGGAGCCTCTAAAACCTCAGACCTTGAAGGTAATACTCTTAAAAGATCAAACAATCTAAAAGTACAGAACTCCTTTTGCAGGAGGAAGAATAGTAAGCTGATTTTTTGTTGTGCTTTTTTAAAAATCATTTTTGTAGCATTTAAAATGTGTTTTGGGGGGGATCATGATTGCATTTAGCACTACCAGGCTATTGATTTAAGAGATATCACTGAACTAAGACTTCAGAAGGCAACTTCACTTTATAAAGAAAATAAAAAGTTCCAACAGATACGATGTGCTATTTTAAGTAAATGTTCAGTAGGTTTTTATGGTACTAGTTTGTGGAAACCAGAACTTCAGAGGAAAATGGATAAATGCTGATAGATCTGACAATTAAAAACAAAAACAGTAAAAGCAGTTAAAATTAGTACTAGGGAGAGAAAGCTGGATTAATCTTGAATACTGAGGAGGAGTCGAATGAATGTAACCAAATGGTGATGGACTATTTTGTACTATGAAACAGTTTGATTGTATTACTGGATGAACCAAACCCACAGGAAGGTAATACCAGTTTAGCCAAGCGTTAGAGTTGGTTACGTTTTGAGGCTAGCCTTTGCCTCTGCACGTGTCCCACCATTAGATCTTTGTTTTTCCCCAGTTATAAAGCAAGAGTTTGGCACCAAAAAGCACAGTAGTGAACAAGGAAGAAGAGTATGAGAAACAGTACCAAAGAGAATCAGATTGCTTTCTGCTCCAAGAAGCTGCCTGCCACCTGGAGCAAGGAACAGATGCCAATGCCAAACATAGGAAGGAGCATTTCCCCTCCTTTAAAGGGATTTCTGGCATTCTCTGGGCTGGAATAATTGTCAGAGAACTTTACAGAAACATGTAAAGAAATCCTGCCTTGCTCTACTATCCCTACCATGCTATTCCACCTGTTTCTAAATTAAGCTGCGTTGGCGAGAGGTCTGTGCTATCAGTACTTTTGCCTAATGGAAAATAGGTTAGATAATTTTTTTAACTAATGACAGTAATAATATAGCACTAAAAAAGAAAACGGGGAGAGCTTTAATAGTGCTGTTAGAACTATTGAATAGTGGTAAAATACGTTTATTAAGCTATTACACTGAGAATTACAGAAAATAGAGATACCAGCCAGATGGTTAACGATGCAGCTTTTCATATAAAGCTTCGTTTAAACTTCTCTTCCCATTTTCCCCTTCCCAGATACTCTGGTGTGCTGCTATAGGTCTGTTGGTAAAAAGGCTAAACTAGGTGAGAGAGAAATTGGATTATGACAATAGCATGGCTGCTGAAAGAGAACTACAGAAATGTATGCTTTGATCAAGAAGCTTTTTGTAACCTCAGAGAGAGGTCATTCAATTACAGAACTACCAGCTAGTAGAGAAAGTATAGAAGATGGGGAAATTCAAAGAAACTGGAAAAATATAGCACGCATTTGAAA